GTAGGTAGATCAGCGTGTCCTGCGGGCTCTTTCCAACCTTCTTTTCTCATCCCCTCCGGAAATCCTGCGGGCTCTTTCCACCCTTTCTTCTCGGGCTTCTAATCTCTTTCGTCTCTCCGCAAGTGCCACTCCACCTGTATCTTTCTTCTCCAAGTGCAGCAACTTTAGGGTGTCTGTCGTGTTGTTTGCAAGTCGTCGTTATAATTTCTTCTTTTTATTTTTATTTGAAATATAAGAGTTTGTTCTTCACTTTTCTCGTTCTTTTCTCATTTTAGTCGATAGAAGTCCGTCGTCTCCTTTGTGGGCGAAGGGTATAGGCTCCCTGTATCTTTTGCCCGCATCAAGACCCATCCTAAGTCAAATCTATGTGCAACTCTCAAATGGAGCCGTAAGCCCTAAACTAAATGTAATTTTCGGGCAACTCCTAAACGGAGCCGTAAGCTGTCACGACCCGGCCCGACTAGCCCGATTATATCGGGGCGGGAACAATCGGTCGTACGGAAGAGCATATAAAGCATAATCAAATCCATTATAAATTTAACAGTAGTACATAAATGTCATCCAATATTAAAAGAAAGAGCCACTAAAAGACATCAAACTGAAATGTTTCAGACTGTTCAATTGTCTCACAACTACTAAAAATTTTTTAAACATCAATTTCATTACATTAGCTCTCACCATTACATAAACTTCAAACTCATGAACTACAGAAACAAACTCAAAGATTCAAACTTAAAATATAAAAATGAAACCTTTCTTCCTGAGGTCCCCTACGACGATACGTGTACCATCGTCGTGCAGCCATCACTTCTCTCTTGAAAAACATTTTCAAACGAGGAATGAGCCAACGCTTAACAGATAGTTCATATCTCAATTAATTTCATAAGATGCATAAAACAAAAACTTTTACAATTGGAATTAATTCAAATCATATCATTTTGTAAGTCATAATTCTTAAACTTTTCATTTTTTCTTGCATTTTCCTTTCTTTAACATTTGATTTCTTTCATTCATTTCTTTCACCTTATTCATATGCAATGCAAGTCCAAAAATGATTATGCTAAATGTATCACCCATCCCGGAAGTACCCTTATTCGTACTGATCAGGTATGCAGTCAAATTTTTGGCCATTTCCTTTACCATTTGTTCATAAGAACCATCCTTTACCATGGCTCATATGAGTCTCCTTTACCAATGCTCGAAAGAGCTCCTTTATCATTTTTGGCACTTCCGGATCAACGTGCAATATGAAATTGTTATTATTTTTAAATCTTTGAATTATGCTCAATTTTCTTTCATATTTATTTCATTTATTCATATAGCTTAATTGCTTCTCAAATAATGCATGAAATGAAAGCATGAAACTGTAGGGTATTTTTTTTAAATCATGAATATCAAAACATTTGACAGTAAATAAAATAATTGACAGTAAAATAAATACATGAAATTACATTCTAAGCATAAATAAAATTAAATACTTATAAAATTAAATGGGGTATGAATACCTATCTCAATTCAAGTACGACACGTCGCTTTGACCAAATTCTTTCACCTTAAATTTCGACGATTACTAACTTAGAAATTTACAAAAACGACGTCATATATTTTGAATAACCTAAATCTTAAGTTTCAATCTCTCATTTCCCCTTAACTATTTCTTAAAATACTTAATGAATTTTTAATTAAATAAACCTTAATTTTCGGATTTAATAAAGACTTAAATTTCGGAAATTCATAAATCTTCCATTTCACTAGAATATTGCTCTAAAATAAATTCTTAACATATAATTATAATTATATGTTAATTTTCGGATTAAAATAATTATGGAAATTATCAAAAACAAAATTTTTTCTAAAAATCTAATTTCATGTTTTAAAAACATTTCTAATAACTTTAGGAACAATATTTGTAAAGGGGATTTCTCAAAATTCAAAATTTAAGAAAAACCCTAATTTTTCTTTCTCCAAAATTCCCTTAATTCTATTTGTTTTTTTTGCTAAAACGATTTTCTAATCGTTCCTTAATAATTTCTTAAAGAAAATTTGAAAGAAAATTAAGTTTTGGAAAAACCCTAGAAATTTCATTCTAAAAAATCTAGAGATTTAAAAGGATTCGTATTGAAAATTATCATACCGGAGTGTTTCTCTCGTCGTCCTCTTCGATTTGACCTAAAACTTTCGCCGGAAGATTGTCGCCAGAGAGATCCTCGCCGAAGCCCGCCATCCGCTCCTCTCGGTTCTTCCCTTCTCGTTCGTCCGATCGCATGAAATGAAGGGGAGGAGGGTTCGGTTTATGCTATTAAGGGAAATTGGGTTTGCTAAATGACCATACTACCCTCACTTAAGCAAATTCAACATAAGGAAAATAGAAGGGTATAATAGGTATTTAGAGACTTTAAACATTTTTAATTCCATTTTTAGGCAAAATTGGGTATAAGTTCTATATACCAAAACGATCAGAATTTCGCAAGGGATTTCCTAAAATTATTTTCGTTACATTCTGCTAACCTTGAAAATTTCACTTAAATCTCGTCGCGGCGCTTTGAAAACGTGCGACGACCTATTAACGTCGTTTTCGGGTTTTACATAAGCCCCATCCTAAATCAAATCTACGGGCAACTCCTAAGCAGAGCTATAAGCTCCAAACTAAACCAAATTCGGGCAACTCCTAAGCAGAGCTGTAAGCTCCATCCTAAACAAATTAACGGGCATTCTAACATATATAAGCCCCGAAAACTTAAAACCATAACAAAACCAAAAACAACATCCAACCACCTCAGTATATTCAGGATCCCTGAGAGGAGGTAACCTATGAATGTTAATCAGATTCCCTGGATGCTGCAATCAATAGTTTGTTAGCTTTGGTAGGTCAAGATTTACGGTATTCCCGGGATGACATAACCATAGGATCTTATTCGGGTCTATCTCCATTCCCACAAACGAGACTTAAACTTAAGATTCCTAAGCTACTCTAAAGTGATCTATCCTTAATCGATAGTTCTCTCCTATGAAGTAGGAGTGGTAAACAACTATGAGGGCTTGTGCTCATATGAAGTATGGACCTTGATCTAAATAAACCTCAATACAATTATCGGGGGAAATATGGTTAATTAAAATCAATATGACTTAAGGAGAATGGAATCTTAAGCCTATAAAGCGGGATTTATGCCCGAGCGTATTTTTTCTTGAGCTAATAGGTTCCATAAAAAATCTACTAAACTGTCAGCTCACTTGTGTGGTCCCCTGATCTTTCTTGTGCCAAAGTGCCATTACTGATGTATGCTTTACTTAAATACATCAATCATGAAAATGATTCATGAAGTCTATCTATGTTACTTGATGAAATCTCACATTGACATAGTTGTGCATGTCAGCCATAAAGGTTTTGAGATTACCTGTAAAATTTGTAGCACAAAGTTTAGAAAATACTATAACTTTCACAATGTTTAGTTCTCTCACGGTGTTGTGTAATCATTAACAAAGATCTTTAGGCGATCTCTAAGTTAATACTAGGGTGGATGAACTATCTGCTAGCAGGTTGAACAAAAATTGGCTGGCTGATAAAATATCCACTTGCAGGTTGATGAATTTGATAAAAAGCTATTTTGCTGTATCATAGTAGAAGAGTATGTGAATGTCAGTGTACTGTAATTATATTCATGGATTTTTCTTCATGGAACACTTCAAGCTTCAGTTTGATATTTAGGATTGCTTTTTCCCTTTTCATATGTTTGTATGTTAGAGTTGCTAGATCGGGAGTGAACTTTCTTTGGGGAGTTGTGGAGAGACCTAATTAGTGCATGATTCGTTCTTAGTACTTCGAAGAATTTGTTAAATTTTTTTTCCAAGGATTGATTATTACTATCATTATGATGTTAAGGTCAAACAATAAGGTATTGATCCTTAATGGAAAGGCTGATCTAGTGGGATGATGGTATCTTAAAAGTATGTTTAATTTATAGTATGAGTGTAGCATAGGCATCTTGTTCTTCTAATGATATCTACTAGCAGTAGAGACTGCTGAGCTCTGTAATTTCTCTTTCAGCAGTTTCTCCTATGTCAACATAAACTAATCATCATGGTCTTATATCTGCTACATTGGTTAGGATTTGGAATGATTCATATTCATTCCTGTTACTGCATGGTTAATTATACCTTTTTTCTACATCTGTTTAAACAAATTCTTGCCTTATTTTTGACCTAACCTTTCCTCTTCCACACCACTTCTCATTCTAATTCTAGTTTAGCTCCTTGTTCGTGTAGCTAGCGATGTTTTAGTTCAGCGCTCATTATTAAGATGTTAGATAATACTTATTCTATCTTCTAACGATCTAAATATAGTCTTTAAGAGAAAGTAGCCTGTCCGATTGGTTATCTAAGTTGCCTTCAAGTTAAGTCTTATTTTTCATTAATAATACGCCTGTTTTTGATATTTTGATTACAGGATGCAGGTCAAACCACCAACTCAGCCAATTATTGTATCTATACCTATCTGCCACTCTGATGGTTAGTAAAGTTTCTTATAAAATTTGCGTACCAATGCAAGAATAGTAAACTTGTTGAAGTTCAATCCCTGCTTATGCTTGAAGATTTTTTTTTGAGCCTTGCACATGTTTTTTCATAACTTATTTGTGAATTTCTGTTTGATTTAAATATTAGTAATACCATAAATAATCATAAGTTTATTTTAGCTATAGGCTCGTGCAAATTCTCAGTTGTTCATCTTATTCTGTCATCCTTCTCAGATACTGAATCTGCTAGAGCATCTAGAAGGCAACTTAGAGAAGCAATATACGCAGTTCTTGCTGATCTGAATGCTCCTTCTATTTGTGCTGTTGATCAGGTGTTATATCTAGTTTTTCCCTTCTATTTCACTTTCGCTATTGGAAGCATGAAAGCATTCTGTTCTTATTCCCATTTAAGGCTTCGAACATGCTGAACTCAACTTAGAAGTGGAGAACTTGTGCTATAAACCAAAATTCTGTAGGTTCTTCCTGTATTCAATATTCTGTCACAAAAGTTGTATATAAATTTAAATGGACATAAAATAGCTTTACTATGTCTAACTACAATAAGATGACATGTTCTGTTTTGAGAGAAATATCGCATAGCCCCTATTGACACTTGGTACGATCCTTATTATTGAGGCAATAGCATCTTAGAGCCTAAGGCGCACGAGTGAGTCTAGGCATCAACCAATTATCTTTTACGTTCCTGAGTTATTCCATTTAAAAAGACAGGCCTTTTATGTTTCTTTGATTGTACTCCGCAATGGAGGCTTTCTTGTTGCTCATCTTTTTATTCTTAACCAACTTATTGGAATTATTTCTTTCCTTTTGGTGTTTTTTATTCTTAGTTGACATATATTAAGTGCCACTGGTCTTACTTTATGCATTCATAGCCAACATATGTCATCTTATTATCTTCTTTCAAATTATTTTTCCTTTTTTTTGCATTCTTGTCTTGCTCATTCTTTTCAAATTTGATGCATTAAAAATAAAGAGAATAGGATTTTGATTACACATAGGATTGCAAATGAACCGAACTTTCAACAAGATACTTATGGCTCAACTAGATTATAGCTCATTTATGATCTTTTGCTTAAGTAATCAAATAAGTTTGAATAATTTTTAAATACTTGGCTATTAAATAAACAAACTTGAACAACTATGCGTTCGACTTATTTATGTTCATGAATAATATCAATTCAAGCTTGTGAATAAGCTCAATATAAAGCTTATTAAGAAGCTCGATTAAATCTTTATTTTATTTATTTTTTATAATTTTAAGTTTTATTATAATAAATTATTTTATAAAAATATAATTTCATTTTTTTTGTTACACTATTTCAATAGAATAAATTTGTTTATGAACAAGAGCTATTTGTTCATGTTTCTAGGATTGTTTGTTTAAAGTGTTCATAAATAATTTTTTTTATAACAATCATCTGAGCTTGTTTGTTTGTGAACGGGTCGTTTGGTAGTTCGAAAATATTTGTTAGACAAGTTTGCGAACATGCTCTATGTAATTGTTTGTTTGTAGACTTGATAAAGCTCATTTGTTTAAAATTCGATAAGCATTAAATGAACTGAGCATGAACCAAACACAAATCAAATATGAACATCTATCGTTTTAAAAGAATCAAATTTGAATACAAACAGAAAAGCTCGAATCAATCTTGAAGCTTGAACATGCTCAAATATGAACAAGAACCTCCTCGACTCGACTTGGTTAATTCAGCCCTAAATTACATATGAAGACATCAAGATGAAAGTAATAATTTAAGAAAAAATATTAAAATAAGAGTTTTAAGGAAGAAATTATTTTGGAAGAGTATAATAAATAATTTAGACAATTATAAGATTGATCCAAAAAATAAAATGTAATTAACTCTTAAAAAGGTTGTGTAAAAAAGGATTTAGGTCTAGACAAGATATCCTCATATCCTATTAAGATTAATAAGTTATTAGGGATATTGTAGTGATTTGTTTAGTAATTTTTTAAATTGAATTTTGAAGATCAAGTAATTGGATAAAAAGTATTTAATGATAAATATTTAAGAAAGACGATGTTAATTATAAAGGAATTAAAGTTATGCGTCATACAAAAAGCTATTGGAGAGAGTAATAGTAACTTACAATGTTACATCAATTTTTGAGAACTAATTGTCATGCCTCGGCTCGAAATCTTGAATTAACGAGGCTGGAACTGACGTTCAGATGGTTAATTCATTTCTTCAATTACACATAAACAGAAACAAACTAATATCTTGCATAAACTGAAGATACTCTAACAAGTTTTACATTTGAATATTTATATAAAACATAGTTATTTTCTTTCGTTTAATCGCTGTCTTCTGTAGACATATTCATCTCTTTCAACCATGCCTACTTATCAGGAGATTTATCAGAAAATTTTAATATTACAGTTTGAGTTTACATGATAAACTTAGTGGATAATTACCACTGATATATAAAATTTAAGCATATATAAAATTACTCATGCATATTCTTTTTCATTTCTTATACAATTAAGCATATATAACATTTTATGTACAATATATCTTTATAGTTCCGATTTCCAATTAATTATTCTTTTTCATTTTCATTTTTTCATTTAACATTTATTCCTTTTTCTTTTCAATTAATACAGGAGTGCCATCTAAATGGATAAATAAAGGTAAAATCATTTCCATTTGCTTTTAACGTGCACGATTACGTTGCTTCCCCAGCCAGTACTATAAGGGGGTGAACTCCTGTAATTTGCATGTATACACCTTGTTCATTTTTCATTTATATTTTCTTTTAGAGATACATTGCCAAAAATCTGAAATCCTTCAGTAGCCATAGGAATATGGTCAACAAAAGCGTCGATGTCAAGCATTTCTTCAACTCCTGAAAACTCTGCTCACACTCAGTTGCCCATTCAAATTTCACATCCTTCCTAGTTATCTTGGATAAAGACAAAACAATCTGAGAGAATCCTTTCACAAACATTTGTAATAACTTGTTAAGCTTAGAAAACTTATAATTTTTGTTACGTTGGAAGGTTTTGGCAACTCAACAATTGCTTTCACTTTTTCAGGATCTACAACAATGCCTTCACCATTAATAGTGTGCCCCAAGAATGTAATTCTCCTTAATGAAAAACTCACATTTAGAAAACTTAGCAAACAATTTATGTTTTCTCATTAAACCCAAAACAATTCTCAAATAATCAACATGCTCCTCATCAATCTTAGAATAAACTAATATTTCATCAATAAAAACTATTACAAATTAATTCAAATAATGTTTGAAATTTATGTTCTTCATGTTCATAAATTTTGCTAGGGCATTGGTCAATCAAATGACATTATTAAAAATTCATAATGCCCATACTAGTACTAAAGGTTATCTTCTGAATGTCATTTTCTTTTACCCCGACTTGATGATATTCAGATCTAAGATCAATCTATGAAAATACAGAGGCTCCTGATAACTAATCTAATTAATCATCGATCCTTGGTAGATGATATTCGTTCTTGATAGTCACTCTATTCAACTCCCTATATGCAATACAAAGCGGCATTAATCTATTTTCCTTCTTAACAAACAACATTGGTGCACTCCAGGGGGATGTACGAAGTCTAATGAAAGCATACTTGGCAACAACGAATGGTGCACCACGGCGCTAAGTTTCCCGTGGAGCCATGGCGCATAGCGCACGGCGTGGCCCGTGCTATTTTAATGAAATTGCACGCGCTATTTGCACATTATGCCATTCGCCATTGCTCATACATGGTGCAAATAGGGTGAGTTATTTTGATGTGTCAGGCCGCGCCAAACAAATAACGTTGTATATGCACACCCCGCGCCATGCTCCATGGCGCATGCCATTTCGTAGCTTGACATTATGAATGAAACCTTTCTCAATTAACTCCGATAATTGGCTTTTCAATTCCTGCAATTCCTTCATAACCATTCTATAGATTGTTTTCACAATTGGTGCGATTTCTGACTGAACATCAATTGTAAATTCTACCTCTCTCTCTCTTGTGGAAACTTATTAGGTCTTCCCCAATATCCACAAAATTATTTATCACATGAATAATATTCATCTCACCATTTATGCCCTTACCAATCGCCAACTTAGCTAGAAAAATCAATTTGCTTACTTTCATGCATTTATTTACCTTAACAGAATTTAGTATAAAGGAACTTACTCCCTTTTAACATAGAAAGTAAAACTCCCTATCCTTAGGCCAATCAAATTTGATTCTTCTGTTCCAACAACATTCAATAGCAGCAAAATATTTCACTCACCAATTCATGCCAAGATTACTTCCAATTCACCTAACGGTAAGACAATTAACTTAGATCTGAATTTCTACCAGCTATCACAATGTCTATTGAACATAAAGCACTAGCAAGCATAAAATTACCAACCAATAATTTAATACACAATTCAGGAGTGAATATAATAGGTTCCAAATATAATTTGCCACGTGAAATTTCAATTAAATGAGTTGAAGCACCATAATAAAAAAGTACTCAGGCAGGAACGTCTGAAATAGTAATCATTCCTATCATAACTTTTGGAAACTTTTGAGTTTCTTAAGAAGTTAAAGCAAACACTTGACTTGAGACACTTCTTGTACTGTCGTCTGGGGCTTCTCACTTTTCACTCGTTATTGGCCTTGCACCTTTAGATTTTCTATCCTCTGAACATTCCTTTGCTCGCCACTTCCCTGTGCATTTTTTGGACAATTCCTCATTACATGACTGCGCTGTCCACATGCATAGCATCGTCTTGAATTCCCTTGACCTTTTCCTGCATGAGGCTTCCCACATGTATCACAAACTGTTATTGTGCGTAATCCTTCATGTTGTTGTTGTTGTTGTTGTTTTTGAATAAATTTATGTTTCTTAAATTAACCTCCTATATCGTCAAATGTCTTTTAATTGCTGCCTGTCTCCCATCTCTGTCTCACCATCTTTAAATATCTTTCTAGCAATCTGGTACTCTCAACCAATTCTAAAAAATCGTTGGTATGCAAATGAATGAAAGGTTGTCGCGGCTAATCTCTCAAACCCTTCAAAAACCTGAATCATTTTTACGCAAGCTTCCTGATAAGCTGGGGAGGATATATCGACAAAGATGTAATTTTGCCTCATGCTAAAGTACAATCTTTGCTCCCTGAATCATATTCACAAAACTCTCCTGCATCGTCTGTCTGGCAGACAGAAGAGCATACTAATCTTTGAAAACTTGTTCAAATTCCTCCCAAGAGATCAATTCGTCGGGTCTACAATCAAATTTTTCTAAATGCTAACCTCTCCACCACCTTTTCACTTTACCTTC